ACTAGGATCTCCAAAAAAAATGCCCCGCGGGCCGGTATCATGAAGAGTAGTACTCGGACCTCTAAAAAGAGCACTATGTAGGCTGGCATGATGAGGAGTAGTACTAGGACCTCTAAAAAGAGTACTCTGTGTGCCGGCATGAAGATTGGAACCACCGGGAGTGTAAGATGAATTCAACCCCGATAATCCAATAAGGGTCTTTTCCCCTCCCCGACTCCCCCTCCCCCCCTCCTCCCCAGATAGGGTGAACTGGAGTCTGATCATCAGTACGACTAATGGGGTTCAGTACTGGGTTACCTCCAAAATGTATATCCTCCTCTTAGGCGAGGAATACTCGTTTGACTCATCCTCCTCATCTACATCATCCCCCACTCTCAAAACTATCCTCATCTTGTTCCACCTCTCCCTCAAACTCATCATCATCATCTACGTTCGCTGACTCACTAAGTGCGGCGAAGGTAGGATGTACATTTTTCTGTTTCTTTAAGTTTTTCTCTTTTTCTATACGATGTTCAGCATATAGAATGCGCGTAACTACATAGCGATTACCTGATCCCTCAAGAGGCGATATCCCATCCTACAAAAGTTTTAAATTTTACACGTAACTTTAATTAATCCTGAATACGTCCCAAAAAATTTAGTTTTAATACATACTTAATAAAACCTAAATAATAAATTATTAATTTAGGTTAATTACTTTAATACATTTTTATATTATTTAAATATCTCATTATAAAATTATCTAATATACATCTTAAATATTTAATTTATTAAATCTACTAAGTACAAATAATAATATTTCCAAATATACTTCAATTAATTATATTATCCACATATTTTATTATTTAATTTTAACCAAAATATAATTAATAAAATTCTAATTATTTACTAACCTCTTTTTCGTATTTACTTAATACTTATTTATTTAATTTTCTTATACTAACTATTTAATTTCTAAGTATCACATTTTGTGTAGGCTAATTACAATTAAACCGACTAATCCTACAAAAATATTTTCTATAATTAAATTAATTATAATAACTTTCATAATTCCTCAAATTAATTTAAAAAAATTGAAGCTCCCTAAAACTACTAATGAATTCCTAAATATGAATATTATTAATAAATTACTTACTTAAGATTAAACATATTAATTAATAAAAATATTTCCTAAATAAATTAAACTAATAAAAACAAATTCCTAAGAATAAACTATAAAATCATAAATTTAACTAATAATAAATAATGAAACTAAAATTCATAAGATTTACAATTACTAATAATAACAATTAAATTAAAATTACTAATATTTATTCTACAATTCATAAATACTAATTAAATTAAAATAAATAAAATTTAATATTAAAAAAATTAAACATACCGGCGCTGGCACATGACCGGCACCGGATAATCTCGCTAGGTGGCCAACGCCTGACGAGACATTTCTCGCCTCACCCCCAGAGGGTGGCGAGGAAATGGGCGCCACTCTTGCGACGGCCGGCGATGGAGGACCTCGCCGGCGATGGAGGCGAGGGCAATGCATTTTTTTTTAAAAAAAAAAAAAAACCTCTAATTTGAACATACCTTGAGTTTCCGTACTTCTTTCCGTAGCCGTTTCATTTATTTCGCCATTGAATCTGTGTTTTTTGGACTTAGGAATGAGAGAATTTGAAATGAAAGATTGATTTAGGAATTGAAATAATGAAATTAAAAGTAATAATTTATAAAATCTGATAGGGGCAAAATAATCTTTTGGTATTAAATTAGGGCGCTCAAGGGAAAAAATTAGAGCGTTTAGTAGTCCCTAGTTTTTTTCCGGTTAAATATTCATGTGGTTCAGTGAAAGGTTCTTATGAATTTCCTGGTATAGTACAACAGCCAAGTTTTTTTTTTTTTTTTTGGGGGGGGATAAGAACATTAACATTTAGCATTATGTTGAGCTATATATATTGAAATAGAACCCAAGCTATTCTCTTTTGAAGACAGCTGAAGCTATTCTCCAATTCAAATATTTAATGACCGAAAACATGATCCATCCCATGTTCATTAATAAATTTACCTTGCAAATATAAAAGGCATATGCCGCGAATGGCACAGGTACAATATTTTGAATAATATGTGGATGATGTAATCAAATCCCTACAAATATTCCATCAAAATTAAATAAAAGTTTTGTGTTTAGTTAATAAATGAGAATTGTGAATAAGTTTTATGTTTTAATATATGCCATTTTAACCCGAAATCATGAAATTTTTTTACCATATCCTATATATTATATATTATTATATCTTACTATATTATAAACAAAAACCACACTTAAGAGAAAGTACCATCATTTGCCACGTGGCATTTTTACATCACATTTTTAAAATAAATTTTAATTTCCACATCTCCTCGACTTAAAAAGTAAATGCAGTCCAAATCCACCTCCACCTCCTATTTTCGCCAAATAAAAAAAATCAGGGGTTCATAAAAAACCCAAATCCTCATCCCCATCTATACCACAATGGACTCCCTAATCAATCTCTTCCCCACAATTAAAAAAAAAACAAATTCCTCATTAATCATCAATTGAGAATATATGGTGAAATATACTCCATTCCAATTAGCATGTTCAATCTTTTTATTAGTGATGATCAATGACATCCTAATCGAATAAAATTTCGACTTCAAAAAATATTCTCTTTGCCTCTCCATATAAACAGAAAGGGAAAAAAAAAATTCTCATTGATCTTTCTTCGGCCGTTGTGGTGGTGCAATTACAGGTATTAAAATTTAAAAGATTTGATTTTAACAGATCATTTGTTCGGCTTTTATTATTTTTTATTTTTCCCGTTCAAGAATAGTGTTATTACTATTATTTTTATGCGTCCATCTGTTATAGCTACCGTAGTCGTTGTCAGGTAATATGATGTGATTTCTTATATGGTTAGTTAGCCTAAAATTTTTGTATGATTTTAGTTCTGTTTGGATTGAATTCATTAATTGGGTTTTTGTTACATAATGTGGTTTTTTTAATTTCTTTTTTATATTTCATTCAATTAGAGTGATTTTCTTTGTTTAATTATGGAGTCTTGGTTTTTTTTCGTATATGGTCAATTTGAAGTGTGTTTTTTTTTGTTTAATTGTTTTTTATTTTGTTTCATACTCCCAATTGACCATTATTATTATTATTATTATTATTATTATTATTATTATTATTATTATTATTATTATTATTATTATTATTATATTTTCAAATGAAGCGCGTTTTTTTTTTGTGTTCGGGCTTTCAAGAATATACTTTTTTGGATTTGATTTTTGGACTTTTTTTAGTTCCTCATCATATAAATAGTTCATGTCACTTCTTCTAATTAATTTATGGGGAAGCCTTTTATGAATTTGAGGCGGAGAGGGAAAGAATAATGTTTCTACGTTTATTTGTGTTTTTATACAAATAAATTTCTCAATTTTTAATGGGCTATCTTTTAATTTCTTTTTTTTTTCTTAATTTGCCATAGTGAGGTGAGTTCTTTTTTGCTATAACTTGAAACTTATGCAAATTTACAATATTTTCATTCTCATATTTGTGATCAACCAGTTTCAATAATTAACCAGTTTCAAAATCATATTTTTGATATTTTACTACCTATAAACGTTTGGAAGAAATAGTTCCAACAATTAAGCGTATACCCTTGGGAAAAAGCTTACTACAAAGCTATTATAAATCTCCAAAACTAAGTATTGATTTGGCACAACCAATAGAGAACATCTATAAATTATCTTACTAATATTTAAACTTATTGGCATGCTTTCATATTTTGTTTAGCATTTACTTCAAGACATATATTTGATCAAGTTTATTTATATTTAAAAAGTAACACTTATAAAACATTTCTAAAATCTTCAAACATTTCTAAAACGTACCGAACCAAACACAATTTCCTTTTATGCGAAATACAAATATTTCTATGATCACACTTATAAAACATTTCGAAATTCTTCAAAAATATCTAAAATATATCAGGCCAAATATAAAATAATTTTTTTTTCAGATACAAACATTTCTAAGATCTACACATATATTAAGCTAGGGTCGCGCATTGCGCGACAAAACATCACTAGTGAGGAAAGAAGATGGCACTAGTGAAGATCTACTATATATTATATATTATTATTATTATCCATTGTACTTAATTAAAGCAGTAAACAAAAAGGACACATGTCAGTTCCACAATCAAAATTTTCCCTCCAAAAGCCTTTTTCAGTATAAAATGAAAACTGACATGTGGCGCTCTAGATTTTGAGAAAAAAATTTGGATTTAAATAATGCTCAATAAAAAAATAAACTCCAAAACATGTGCAGATAAAATATAGAAACCTATAGCTAATTTTCATTTACATAAGATAATTATAAAAAGTCCAATTTTCAACTGCAAATTAGTGAGATAAGGACGTTTCCCTGTAATAAATACAATGAAAATCATATCTTCATATATACAAATGATTTTCCGGTCATAGTCAAGGATGTAAAAAAAGGAGATGTACACTGATTACACTGTCTAATTAACCATAATTACATGAAATCGAATATTCTCCATTCCTAAAATTAAGCACTTCATCCGTGTTTAACTTCTCCATTCCTAAAATTAAGCACTTCATCTGTGTTTAACCACTCTTGAATTCCTGTACAATCAAAATAAAATCAATTCACTTGATGTGATGCATTTAATGAAAATTCTACAAGATAAACATCCCTGCTTTTGAATTTTGAGTGATTCATCTATATCTGTATAGCAGAATGTGCGTGTATATTTCTTCTCCATCTTCTCCAGTTTTAAAGGGAAGTTCAAAATCTCAAAGATATACTTACCTTGATATATCCATGGCATATCTTCCCAGCGTTATTAAATAGCTGTATAAATCAATCCATACTGATCATTCAATCAATATCAAAGTCCTTCTGAAAGAACCACAACAAAATTCTTAAACACTCAGAAAAGAAATCAAAATCCTTTCTGATGGATTCTGCACAGAAAAGAAATATCCCTATTTCTGAAGGTGCTTTGATTCCATCAGCTGATCCTGTTGTTCCAGAAAACGCCAATGATATTCAAGAAGTCCCAGGGGAAGCATATGTTACTCCGCCCGTTCAAACATCAGTGTCTTCATCAAAAACCCCTGATGATGGATCCCATATTGCAATTCCTTCTGTGAATTCAACTGCTCAAAGTGGAACTCCTGCTGTTACTCCTCCCGTCCCACAACTTGCTGCACAAAGGTATATTGTGGACATCAATGGGTTGGTGCCAACCAAAACCATACATTTCAACATTGTCGTTCGTGTGATGACTATATGGAAAATGTATGATACTCAAAACAAGAAGGATGTCAAATCACTTGAATTGTCTTTGATTGATGCTCAGGTATTTTTTATTCCTTTGTTTTTTAAAATACATTCTTTGATGTACATCACTCTATTTGTATGTTTAAGTATATTATATATAAATTAAAAATAATGACAATGCAGGGTTCCAAGATCCAGGCTACCATACCTGCTCGAATCATGAAAGATTTTGTAAAGTACTTTAAAGATGAAGGTGTATGCAGGAGGCTGTCACGTTTTGATCACTGTCTTAACATAAATGGAGGTTACCGTTGCTCCAAACACGAGTATAAAATTGTGTTTGGATCTGACACTTTGGTTGAACAAGCTGTTGACCTTGACATACCTAATCATGTATTTAAGTACACTCCTTTTGCAGAAATTACGAATTTTGTTGCCAACTTTGACTATTGTTGTGGTAAGTGTGAATTATAAAAAATACCTGCCGGTTTTTGGAGATTTTTTTCATGTATAACTTTCACATATATTCAACTATTTTGTAAGTAAATACCTTTACAAATTACTCTTTTCTTTCAGATTTGATAGGACACATAATTGGCTACAGTGATCCTATTGTTGAAAAGGGTAAGAAGAGGATTTCTGTGCAACTGGAGGATGAAAGGTATACACTTCTACTATTGGTTTCTTAAAATACATGATTTTTTTTTTGCTTTTTAAATCCAACAATAGGATGTCCAAATATATTATTAACAAGAGTATACATATATGCAGAGCTGACACGTTAAAGGTTACTCTTTGGGAAGAACACGCTGACCGTGTTCTCAATTGTATGAATAATGAACCCGAATATCCTGTTGTTTTGATTGTGCAGTATGTCAAGTGTAAAAAGTACTATTGTAAGTTTTCAAGACATAGATTTCACTTATTAGCAATGTCTATTATGTAATCCTTATACTATTTCTTTGTGTTAATGCAGCCAAAGTTTCACTACAACCAACCTATTTAATGGCGGGATATACCTCAATGATATGAACATTGCGACATATACGAGTACAAACACAGGTAATTAAAGCTTTTCACAGGGAGCATATACAAGTCAAAGCAGTGACTTGAAAACATGTATATTCATAAATGTATGCTGTAATTTAACAATATACTTACCTCTATAGGATGGAGCAAGAAGAGATAAAAAGTGCAAGAATCCAGAAGATCTCCCTGTTGTCTTCAATTTCAGGTTACACAACGTTTGAAGACTTTGTCCGTGATGCAGAGATGCTAACTTTGTCTGGAATTAGCGAATTGGATCAGGTAATGAGTTGATATTATATAATATAAATAAAATTTATAATTTGCATACGTTAATGATTCTGCAATATTTTTGTTTAAAGGCCTGCAACGTTGTAGTATTTGCTAAGATAAGTGGATTAGCAAAGGAAAATGAATGGTCATACACAGGGTGCAGCCTCTGTAACAGAAAGGTTTTTGAGATAGAAGATGCTGAGAAGAACAATGGAGGAAATAAAAAGTTATCATTTGCAAAGAGCAGAAGGACAGATAATGGAAAGGCAATTTCATGTCCGAAAAAATGGATGTGCAGCAGTCATGGACCTGTTTCTGCTGTTGGGCCAAAGTATAAATAATATACTAAGCATTATAGATTTTTTTTCCCAGTTTAGTTGCAATTATTATTCAATTTCATTATACAATCACTAATTACTTCTTAACTGTTCAATCTACTTCAGATTCAAACTGCAGGTATATGTTGTTGATGGTTCAGGTAGCAGGATTGCTACACTTTGGGACAGAATGGTTTACAATTTCATAAACAAGAGTGCTGCCGAACTAATTCAGGAGGTATACTTCAATATGTTTCCCTAAGTTTTTTTCCTACATGATTACGATGCATCTAATAGTATACAAATGTTTATTACTTACACGAGATTCCTATTGATAACCTATATAGGGGAACTTAGATTACCCTGAAATCCTAGAGGAAATTGTGGGGAGAAAGTGTTTGTTCAGGCTGGATGTGTCCAATTACAATATTAGGAACAATACAAGTGAGATATCGGTTGCAAGGATTGCTACTGATCATGATATTATAAAGAAGTACCTCGAAGCTGTTTCTGATGATCAGGTTAAGTTTCATTGTTTACCAATACACACATATACATACATATTGTCATTATAGTTATGTGACAACTTTTTAAATGTTCCAGGACATTGACCCAGAGCTAAGTGCAGAATTCTATCACTCTGTGACTCCAAATCAGGACAGCAATGCTAAGGTATTTTATATGTGTCAAACAGTACCTTTAAAATATCAAAGTGTTTATTATTGAAGTGAAAAAGACATGCTTGCTAACTTACGACAACGTTGGATGACCAGACAGCTGTTTCGTGCACTGATGAAACTGATTTGATGTTGATTGGAGATGACTCTGCCGATAGTCCTCCTCCTAAGAAGTTTACAAATGCACATGAAGGTGAAGAAAGTGTCAAGTCTCACCCCAACAAGCGGGTCAGGAAACTGTGATAATCAAAAGAAATGGCAGCAATTTACTGTTTTTCATAATAAAGTTTACACCTTTCGGTGTTTATATGTTTCCCGGTCCAGAATATTGATTATTGCGAGAACTTTTCATTATTTTGTTTACGTTTTCTTGGAACATTATCATTTTACAAACCATAAGTTTTTATCAGTTCTGCTTTTGATTTCAATATTCTGTGTTGTTGATTCTGTTATGTTACATTTTAATTCCATTCACTAGATCATCATAATGTGTTTGTTATGAATGTTGCAGTTTATAAAATGGTAGGATATTTGTCAATGACATATACGAGTACAAACTTATTACTTTTTAAATATTCACAGTGATCATACAGAAGTCAAAACATTGACTTGAAAACATGTATATTCATAAATGTATGCTATAATTTAACAATATAATTACCTCTATAGTATTGGATCAAAAAGAGATAAGAAGTGACGAATCCATAAGATCTCCCAGATGTCTTCAATCTCAGGTTACACAACGTCTTCAATCTGAAATATTCGGTTCAATCAGAATATGAATAATTATCCCCGCTTTGCTGAATTAATACTATATTGATAAACTGGTAAACACACACACGGATTGAACTGAATATTTCAATCTAGATAAAATGGTAAAGATACGATCGATTGAATGAATATTTCAGATTGGATAAGTGAACTGAATCTTCATATCCTGAAAATTCTCTATAAAATTAGTATATTTATTGGAATTTTTAAACTTTCAATTTCATCAAATTTGAAAGACTTTTATGTGAACGTGTATACAATTGACAGATAACTGATATATTTTATCCCTAAAAATCTGGTGAAATAATCAATTATTTGATAGTTGATTGGTTGTTAATAAAAAAAAATATTTATATAGAGTTTCATTCCTTAACTGTTAAGTCTAATAAACTCCTAATTATAAGGGATCTTAAATAGGTATATAAATACAGAATAAAAACGTATATTCACAAATAACCCAAATTCAGTTTTAAACAAAACATAAAAGCTAAACTTCTTTGCAGTTTTGAGAAGAAAAACACGTTATATTTCAGCAGTCAAAATGGATTATGGTTATGATCAATTGGTTTTAGTTCCAGCAAACATTCGAACAAAAGGATTGGTAAGTATATAATACAATCTCAATTATGAGTTTAGTATAATTACTTTTATGCTTTGTAATTTTTATCTTTTTATCAGATACTTAGCAGTAACCTCACTGCAATTTTAAGACATGTTGGACAGCAAATCATGATTGAAGTACCAGGGATTGGCAGTGTTTTTGCAAATATGCATATTAATAAGAAAAAGAGGTGTCAATTATACGGATCTGCACTTGAGGAGTTCTTTGCAGCCATCGGTGTTTTTCCTCAATCTAAGATTCATGTTATTTATCACAAGTCTTCTAATGTTCTGCATTTATTTAATTTTAATCACGATGGATGCCAACGTTTTTCCCCTGATCTTAATGCAAACATTGGACATCGGTATCTTTTGGAGTTAAATCCTAACAATTCTCTCCGATGTGTAAGTTTAAATAACACCTCCAGCTTCTATCGAGGTTTTTAATTTTTACAATCTGTTTGGTATACAAATTTATTGTCCTGATTATCTTTGTTTTTGAATTGTAGGTTATTAACCCACAGTACTTTAGGGGTATAGATTGGCCTTTGAATCAAACTGTTTCGCTGATCCTTGATGATAAACATAAACAGTGGAATTTTAATATATATACACAACAGGGTGAACCTGTAGGTTTTGAAGGCAAAATGTGGGCAGAATTTCATGATCTTTACTTTAATCATCTACGAGGTGTAAATGTAATATTCATTTACACAGGGCAATTATACTTTAGGTTAAGGGTTTTCAACCTTCAAGGTTCTTCTTGTGATCGGGATATATCGCTTCGGATTCATCGAAGGTTTGATCAATTTACATTTCATATGCAAAGAAGTTTATTTCATTAAATTTATGCTTTTATATCTGGACTTAATTTTTACTTCACTCATTGCGGTGAAGTTGACACAATTGACTACATACGATCTAATAGTGATCGAATACTTTCAACGTAGTCATGAACACCGATGTCATTCAACGTGGTAGATTGGTGAGATAATGGTTACCATTTGTAACTTACAATAAACAGAATTTTACCTTCAATTATATAGCATTCACTTACTGTTATTATTATGTATATTTGATTTTTAATTTTTTATATGAAAGGAAATACCATGGCACATTGTCAGAAGACTTGATATTCAAGACTACAATAGTTTGATCATATACTATGATGAAGAACCTGTTATCAGAATGGGCCGTGTCTATTTATCTGATTATCCTAATCGCTTCATTGTCAAAGGAGACATTGAGTACATGATGGGTTTAAAAAAGATCCCTACTGGTATCAAGCTCGGTTTTCATATAGATGCAAGAAAGGCAGTTAATAAGGAACATTTAATCTTGGAAGTACTGTAATAGTTTTAGATTTTTTGTTATTTGGAATAATTAATCATAAACTTATTAGTTTCCAACTTTCAGTCACAATTATCTATTAAATAATTGAATGTTGATTTTCCGTTGTTTTATCCATAGACATTTTGAAGCAGATTATCTAATGCCATAATTCAATATCTTTTATCTTACAATCGCATAAATTCATATAATCATACATATAAGAAATAACCAGTCCTTAATAATTGACCACTAAACATCCAATCAGTAAATTGAAATTAACAGTAAATGCATGAAATTGGTTTTACTGAATTTTAAAGTTTCAAATGAATTGGTTGTTTATATCCTATTTTTTAGGAAACATCATTGATCTTTAATGACAATTTCACTGTGAATTGGTTGTTTATATCCTATTGTTTAGGCAACATCATTGATCTTTATCAAAAAATATTCTTTACTGATAATGTATTTAATTTAATATATATTCTATCATTTCAATCACATCAAGCTTATATTCCTGTTAACATTCTTATTTAAACACATCTTATAAATTTGAATCCTAAACATCATACAAACTTATAGTCACCATGAAAACTAAATGGGATGCAAAGCAGGCCAGATTGATAAGAAAGGGGATTTTACAGAAAAAAAGACTCAGAATTCAACAACCGGTAATTACTGGTAATCCGCCAGTTTCAATTGTCGTACCACAACTTTATGAAGTCAGTGGTAAGAGGAAAAGAATTCATAGAATAAAGATATTGGAATTACCCTGTCCTGATCCAGTTATTGCGAAAAAGTCCAGGATTGATAGAAAAGAGTTGTTAGATATGAAAAGAAACAGGTCAACCATCCATGGTGAGCAAATGTCAGAGATCAGTGTTAAACCAAGTTGTGGAAGATCTTACAGATTGAAGAGGAAGGTATTTTTGGATAAAAGGAAGGGTAAAGTTATCCCAGAAAAACCAGTTGTTACGATGGGTGGTATTGCTATTCATGGATCGAGTAATTTCACATTCATGTATTCCACGGATACAAGTTCACAACCTATGAAGGAATCCATTTGTTCCAATCGATTATGCAGATCACAATTCCAAAAAGATAAAAGTAATGATAACGCAACAGGTAAGCCATCATCTTTTTTTATTAATTTCTTTTGTCAATTTAATAGATTTTCCATTGTACAAATCTGGAATCGTATATGAAACAAATTTGATATAGAGTAATTGAAGTTCTAAAATCTAACCTTGCTTTATTGTTTGTTGTGAAATTGATTTTGTCTGCAAGCTGTTTTGGATGATAAATTATCATCAAATCCGTCTATACTTCATCAGACCACAACAGGTGCATCGAGAAAAAATTTGCGGCCTGGAAAATACAAAGTCATTAGCAGGAATTTAACATGCATAAATACAGGTAACATTCTACCAATCCATGTACACCATAATCTATTAACAGTCATACAACAATTATTTAATCAGTATAATACATGATATGTAAATATACTTTTTTTACAGAGTACGATGACTTGGGAGATCCAATTTATGTATGTGAATATTGTGGATCTAACATGTGGTATGAAGAAAGAGTGAACAAGCAAAGGAGACCTGAGCAACCTAAATTCTCTCTGTGTTGCAAGCAAGGAAAAATACATTTACCCTTCCTTCAAGAACCACCTCTTAAACTAAAACATCTGTTCATGTCAAATGATGATAAAAGCAAACATTTCTTGGATAATATCAGAGCGTATAATAACATGTTCGCGTTTACTTCTATGGGTGGTAACATAGTTAATTCAATAAATGATGGACGTGGCCCATATGTTTTCAAAATGCAAGGACACAATAGCCATCTCATGGGTAGTTTACTTCCAGAGGATGATTCCAAACCTAAATTTTCTCAGTTATACATATATGATACCCATAATGAAGTCAGCAATAGCATTGGAGCTTTAAGGTACATTTCAATACTTACATGAATGTACTGTAACATCTTTTACATTTCAATGTTTAATCAATGATCCACTTTTTAAACCATTATATTATATTGTGTGCTATTTATGACAATGCAGTTCAGGGAAAAATCAAAAAAAAACAAAGGAGCTTGATGCTCAGATTGTGAATGACATAAAGACTACGATGGATGAACACAATGTTTTGGTTAAAACATACAGAAAAGTCCGTGACACTGTCCAATCAGATTCTTCAAGTGAGATTAGACTAAAGCTAATTTCCACAAGGGAAACTGATGCCAGAATGCACAATCTTCCAACTGTTGATGAAGTCGCAGCTATATTACCTGGCGATGAAGGAAATGAAACTGAGACAAGAGATATAATTGTTCAGTATAAATCTGGACAACTTCAGCGTATAAATGAGTTGCACCCATCGTACATCTCACTTCAATATCCTTTGTTGTTTCCTTACGGTGAAGATGGTTTTCGGATCAATATAAAGCTTGGAGATCCAGAATCAGATTCTGACGAAGATGAAAATGTGTATTGTGATGATATTGAAGGGGTATATGAAGAAAGGAAAGGCCCGCGTAAATGGATGAGTATGTGTGAGTGGTTTGCATACCGTATACAGGACAGAGACATGGATGGATCAATGCTGCTATATGGACGTAGACTTTTTCAACAGTTTTTAGTTGATGGATACAGTGCGGTTGAAGCTGGTAGGATATTTTGGGTCAAGAGAAATCAAAGAAATCTTCGATGTGACACTTATGAAAACATTAGAAAGCAGCTTGACAATGGAAATACTGAAGCTTCAGATGTTGGGCAGAGAGTGATAATACCTTCTACTTTCACAGGAGGTGAAAGATGGAAAAGGGAGAATTACATCGATGCAATGACTATAGTTAAGACATATGGTTATCCGGATGTTTTTCTAACATTTACATGTAATAACAAGTGGCCAGAAATATTAAGATATTGCGACAAGAAAGGATTGAGGCCCGAAGATAGGCCAGATATAGTTTCAAGAGTGTTCATGATGAAGCTTGAAAGACTGATGAAAGAGATAAAAACTAAAGAGGTATTTGGCCGTCAGGAAGCAGGTTTGTTTGAACTATCATTTATATTGGTTTCTTTTAAAATTTCTTTATGTTTTTATACATCAATAGTAATTATTCCATACAGTTAATAAAGGGTACTAACTTTGCAGCCGTCTACACGGTTGAGTACCAGAAAAGAGGGCTACCTCATGCACATATAGTGGTGTGGTTACATCGTGATGACAAACTATCCAAACCAGAGGATATTGATAACTTCATATGTGCTGAACTACCAGATAAGGATAATAATCCTGTTCTATACAACATTGTTACTGAGATGATGATTCATGGTCCTTGTGGTAAAGAGTTTCCTTTCAGTCCTTGCATGGTAAAAGATGAATGCTCAAAAAAATTCCCTAAAAAGTTCAAAGAGGAAACTACAATAGGTGATGATGGTTTCCCGATTACGGAGACGTAATGATGGTAATAAATTTGAAAAGAATGGTGCTACAATAGATAATACATGGGTGGTTGGTTACAATTGGTATTTGACACTCAGGTTTCATGCACACATCAATGTAGAATGGTGCAATCAAGCAGGTGCTATTAAATACTTATTCAAATACTTGAATAAAGGATCCGACCGAGTTTCATTCAAATATACAATGAACGGAGAAGTAATCAGAGAAGATTATGATAAGCGCCCAAAGGATGAAGTAAAAGATTGGTATGAAGGTAGATATCTTTCAGGTTGTGAAGCTGCATGGCGTATCTGTAACTTTCCAATACATCATAGAACACATCATGTTGAAAGGCTAAGTTTCCATATGCCTGGTCAACAGAGTGTCGTATACGATGAGGATCAAACTGTGGAAACAGTAATAAGCAGGGCTTCCAACAGAGAATCGATGTTCACTGGTTGGATGCAATGTAATGCCATTTACCCTGATGCTATAAATCTTACTTACATTAATTTTCCTTCCAAATTTGTGTGGAAAAGAAAAGATAGAATTTGGAAGCCAAGACTAAGAGGTTCAAGCATTGGAAGAATTCATGGGGTACCTATAGCATCTGGTGAACCTTATTACCTCAGGATGCTCCTTAATATTGTTAAAGGCCCGACATGTTATGAAGATATAATGACAGTAGATGGTGTACAACATATGACATTCAAAGATGCTTGCTTTGCAAGGGGTTTACTAGAAGATGACAAAGAATATATTGATTGCATTCTTGAAGCATCAACTTGGGGTACAGCAACCTACTGCAGACATCTATTTGCTGAACTATTGGATGGTGATATTTTGTCAAAGCCTGAGATTGTGTTGGATCAAACTTGGGAATGCTACACAGAAGATATCCCATTGAAATTGAAACGGTTGTTCAGAAATGAAGGTGTGTCATGAAAATATTTTTCAATTATATTACACATTTAAATTAGTACACATCTTTTTATTAATATATACATAGATACTAAAATGCTATATACAGATTACATTGTGTCTGAAGGTGAGCTACAATTGCACGCACTGAAGGAGATTGAGTTAATATTACGAACTCATGGTAGGACCTTGAAGGATTTTCCAAGTATACCATATCCTGGCGACGTATTCATTGAGGATGGGACAAATACCATGATCCACGATGAGTTAGACTACAACAGGTCTTCATTGAGGGAAGAACATGATGTGCTATATGGTAATCTAACTGACGAACAAAGGGCAATTTACAAAGAAATCTTAGATGCAGTTGAAAAAGAGAGTGGAGGATTATTCTTTGTGTATGGTTACGGTGGAACTGGAAAGACTTATGTCTGGCGCACACTTTCAACAGCAATTCGAAAAGAAGGAGAAATAGTACTAAATGTAGCTTCCAGTGGAATTGCTTCATTATTGTTAGTTGGTGGAAAAACGGCTCACTCAAGGTTTCATATACCAATTAACGTGACTGATGAATCGATCTGTAGGATAAAACCAGGAAGTGATTTGTCTGCTTTGGTTAAGAGGGCAAAACTTATTATATGGGAC